TCCCTCTTAAGTGCTAATGTGTTTTTTAAAAAGGCACACTGTGTATTCGAGGTGAGAGTAATTTTCCTTTCCACAATGAAAACACTACAAGAACACATCCTTAAGGGTTAGCTGGAAGAGCTGTAGATCTAACTTGGTGGTAGAGCTCTTGCTTAACTGAGAAATGTCCTAGGTTCAATCCCCTGAGGAGCAGGGAAGGGGTGGGTATTGGCTGCAAAAGCAGAAATACGAGACTGTGTAGTTGACCGACGAGGAGGGGCCGCACAGAACAGGTCTGTTTCACCTACTGACTGCAGAGCTGACCCTGCGGGACCACACCCCAGTCTCAGGTATGCCATTCTCAGGGCTGCGCACAGCCACTGAGTACAATAAATGTAACCCCCTAGGGCCAAGCCAGGAAGAGGTCTTCCTCTCATTTATATGCCGCGAGGCAGCTCATATGACAGGCTTGTGTCAGAGCTCCAACCTACCCGTGCTGGTGCCCAGCTTGCCCCAAGAGGAGGTGGTGAGTTTGGCCAGGCAATGGCTGGTGCCTGAGAGACAACATAGCCACTACGACTAGGGAGATGCATGGAGTAGATGCTCTTTATACTTCACCCGCCAGCCCGAGCCCACTGTTGAGCTTCTGTTAAATTATCTACAGCACTTGATACTAGTTTTAGAGACATTGACTGCTTTTTTTTTTAAAGACAGGGTGGCGCTGGGCGTTGGTGGCACACACTTTTAATCCCAGCACTCAGGAGGCAGAGGCAAGCAGATCTCTGTGAGTTCAAGGCCAGCCTGGTCTACAGAGCGAGTTCCAGGAAGCCTCTAAAGCAATACAGAGAAACCCTGTTTCAAAAAAAAAAAAAAAAAAAAAAAAAAAAGGACAGGGTGTCATGTAGTATGCCAGGCTCAAACTTGTTTTGATCTTCTGATTCTCCTGCCTCTACCAGCTGAGTTCTGGCATCACAGGTTACCTCCTGGGTTTATCCCGGTATCACAGGTTCACACCACCATGCTGCCCTGTCTATGGTGAGCTGGGGAATCAAATCCAGGTCTTTGCAGGTCCCAGCAAGCACATTGAGCTATATCTCAGACGTTCATCTTACAATTTTCATCACATTTACTTATTTCTGTCTGTGTGTGCATGCCCATGTACTGCGTGTTTGCGGAGGTCAAAGGACAACTTGCAGGAGTCAGTTTTGTCCCTTTACCATGTGGGTGGTGGGGGCTGAGCTCAGCTTACCAGGTTTGGTGACGAGTACCTTGACCTGCTGAACTATCTAGCCAGACCAAAGACATTCATCTGTAGAGATGTTTTGCCTTTGTTCCACTTTGAAGAAGCCTAGAAACCATGCGGAGCCCGCCTCCTCACCTGCCGGTTCAGCCGTATGGACAAAATGTTGCTGGAGTAGCTGTAATTACAGATCTCGGTGCCTTTCTTGAAGTGGTACACGTTCATCTGCCGAGGTTTTGTGTGACTGACCACCACCACCAGGCTGCTGGAGAAGAGGCGCTCCACAATGTACACGTCGGGGATTTCATCTGTGAGGAGAAACAGCAGTGAGGTCTCCCAGGTGGCCTCTTGGAGAAAGACTTTGGACTTTGTGACACTGGGTACCACACAGGCTGGTTCACACATGTCTCTGGGTCTTGCTACAGGGTATACTCCATCAGTAATGACCCACCCTGGCCCCAACAGTAAGCTTTAACTGTTGGGTAACAGTTCCAGGGGTAACACTTCCAGGGATCTTTCTATGTACGTAAAGCAAATGATATGCTAATGACTAAGACGGAAAGCCAGAATCTCCAGAGCCAATGCGTGGTATGCATGGTAGAATTACCCACTAACACCCCCCCACACACATACTCACTGTGTATATGCGTGTGTGTACCTATCACAACGCACATGTGGAGGTCAGAAGACAACTTGCAAGAGAGTTGGTTCTCTCTTTCTACCATGTGAGTTCTGGAGAATGAACTCAGGTTAGGAGGTCTGGCATCAAGATCCACATTGCAAAACCCCTTCCTAACCACTTTAAGACAGAATCTTGCTCTATAACCCAGGCTGGCCTTGAACTCATGACCTTTCTGCCTCAGCCTTCTGAATGCTGGGTTTTATGGGTGTGCACGGCCATACCTGGTGCAAGACAAGAGGGCAGACAACACTATCTCAAGGCAGAGGGTGAGGATGGACACATGTGAATGGGCACACACCCTCTCATGCACACATCTCTATCACACACAGAGATTAAAAATAACCAAATAACAAATTAGGAGCCCCAGTTATTATTTATGAAACCAGTTTCTTCCCAGAAAATGCAGAGGTGAAGTATGCAATAGCATACATTATTTACCCTGAGAAAAATCACAGTCACATTTATAAGGGGAATTATTTTTAATAACTCACTAGAAATATGAGTTACTTCATTCAATCATATAAAACATGTCCCTACTAAATGAATGGTGTCAATGGGCTACAGAGCCAGTGTAACATCAAAAAGAAGCAACAAGGTTGATAATGACAAACCCTGATTACCACGAGCACAGATATATAGAAAATCATCAACAATATGATTTCAAACAAGGGCTTTCTTCTTACAAAGAAGAAAATGTCACTCAAGTTATTGCCAAACTTCAATGAGAGCTTCATTGTGGCTTCTATGCAAGAGGAAACAATGGTTTGTATTCAAATCCACACAACACCAACTCTTTAGGTTGATAGCTAAGACAGAAACTAAAAGCTCAAGACTCAAGTCTATGGTTGGGGCATAGCCTTGGTGGTGGAGTGCTTTTAAGAGGCTGGTAGGTTCAATACGCAGGACTCCAAAAAGAAGAAAATTCATGGGGGGAAAAAGGATTGACATCTAGGGGGAGGATTTGATGTCCCTTCAACTCCTCTTCCTAACACACAGACCTATAGACATCACACACACACACACACACACACACACACACACACCTTCAACTCCTCTTCCTAACACATAGACCTATAGACACCACACACACACACACACACACACACACACACACACACACACACACACTTACTGCTTCCATGGACTTGATCAAGTTGTTCCACAGAACTCAAAGAAAACAGCTTGTAGCCGGCCTTGGTTCCAATCGCTAGCGATCTGTGGAAGATGATGACATCACAGGAATGACAACAGATACTGAATCCCAACCACAGCCCTGTCTGAGAACTCAGAGTCCTTTCCCCAGAGGCAGCTAATGTGCAGGTAAACAGACATCTTCAGGACTTAGAGCCTTGATGACCTATGCAAGGTAAGGCACGCTTTGGCAAATAGCCATGAGGAAAAGGGTAAAAGGTCAAAGGAGACTTTTTAAGAGATAGAAATTGACTGGACTCTATCACCAAGTAAAATGTGAAAGCTCTCACAGGTCTTGTTTTCCCAGCTGGGCAGGCACAGGAAAATAGGAATGCTCCATCTCCACAATGCTTGAGAGATCGTCTTATTGTTTGTTTGGGAAGTCCTTTACCAGGAGGTGAGTAATTACCATTATGTGTGTGTACATGTTCCTGTGTGCGTGCGTGCGTGCGTGCGTGCGTGCGTGTGTGTGTGTGTGTGTGTGTGTGTGTGTGTGTGTGTAGACCAGAAACAAAACTCAGTGTCTTCCTCAATTTATATCCAGCTTTTTTTTTGTGTGTGTGGTTGGAGGGGTCTCTTCCCAAACCTGATGCTCCCTGGTCTGTCTAAGCTAGCTGTAGCAAGCTTCAAGGATTCTCCTGTCTCTGCCTCCACCACGCTGGGATTCCAGTCTCTATGCCTGGCCTGTTGGGTAGGAGTCAAGACTCAAACTCAGGCCCTCACTATTGCAGGGGGAACACTTTAATAACAGAGCCATCTCTCCAGCACCAGTTTGTTTGTTTTTCAAGAAAGGGTTTCTCTGTATTGTTTTGGAGGCTGTCCTGGAACTAGCTCTGTAGACCAGGCTGGCCTCGAACTCACAGAGATCCGCCTGCCTCTGCCTCCCGAGTGCTGGGATTAAAGGCGTGTGCCACCATCATCCTGCTCAGCACCAGTTTTTTTTTTTCCTGTCCTTAAAAAAGAAAGTAACTTTTGCTTACTAGAAGAAATTCACACCGGGGCATGGAGATGGCTCGGCAGAGAAAGGCACTTGCCACCAAGCCTGGTGACTTTAGTTCCATCCGAGACCCACACAGCGGAAGGAGAGAACCAGTTCCCACCAGTTGTCTTCTGGCCTTACACACATGCACCTGGCAGGAGTACACCCTGCCACAGGCATGCACACAAAACAAACCAATAAAGTGTCAAAAAGCAGAAAATAAACACAGTGTCTTAAAAATGCTTCCTTCTACCGGTTTCTATGAAAAATACTATATGGACTTTAGGAACTCTATTGGAGAGCTTAATTGTTTTATTTGTGTGTGTGTGTGTTAAATTCAAGTTCTGTAACCTGCAGTCAGCTTTAGGAACTGCTTTATGCTGTGGCCTATAAAACTACTTCCAATCCCAGCACTCGGGAGGCAGAGGCAGGCAGATCTCTGTGAGTTCGAGGCCAGGCTGGACCGACAGCCTCCAAAACAGAGAAACCCTGTCTTGTAAAACCAAACCAAACCAAAAAAAAAAAAAACAAAAACTATTTCCATTACCAACAAATAAAATAAAAACCAAACACTTATTTGCTTCAGTGTGGGCTAAGAAAATGATTTAATTTTCACACTTTGTGAGTGTGTGTGTTCATGCATACACAGGTTTACGTGCGTGCGTGCGTGCGTGCGTGCGTGCGTGTGTGTGTGTGTGTGTGTGTGTGTGTGTGCTGTCCACACATCAGGGAGCTCAGCAGAGAGCTGAGGGATCTGCGAGTCTCCACCTCCCCAGAGCTGGGATTACAAACATTCACCATTGCTTGCAGCTTTTCTTTCTTTCTTTCTTTCTTTCTTTTTTTCTTTCTTTCTTTCTTTCTTTCTTTCTTTCTTTCTTTCTTTCTTTTTTTTTGAGTCGGGGTTCTCTATGTAGTTTTGTAGACCAGGTTGACCTCGAACTCAGAGATCCGCCTGCCTCCGCCTCCCGAGTGCTGGGATTAAAGGTGTGCGCCACCACCTGGCTTGCGTCTAGCTTTTCATTTATTTATTATTTATTGATGTAATCATTACTATTAACACTATGTAGATTCCGGGGCTCAAACCTACATCTCACTGGCTCAGCTATCACCCAAGTCCCAATTTTCTACTTTAAACTCATACATTTTTTTCGAGTTTGCTGGTTAGCTTTTATCTCAACTTGGTACAAGCTACAGTCATCTGGGAAGAGGGGAACCTTGACTGAGAAAATGCCTCCCCATCAGACTGGCATGGAGGTAAGTCTGTGCGGGTATTTTCCTGATTGATGAGTGGCGTGAGAGGACTCACCCCACCGTGGGTGGTGCCATGCCTGGACAGGTGGTCCCTGTTGAACGAAACAGCAAGCTGAGTGAGTCAGCAGGAGCAAACTGGAGAGCAGCGGCACCGCTCCACGGTCTGCTTCCCTTCCTGCCTCCAGGGCTCCTGTCTGGGGTTCTGTGCTACCTGCGCGTCCCTTCGTGACGGACGGTAAGCTGTGCCGTGAACTAAACGCTGCTTTTGGCTCTAACGTTTATCGCAGCAATGGAAAACAAACTAGGACACCAGGTATCCTCGGCAACACTTGAAAACAAAACGAGTGACCAGGTGTAACCCCGGCCCTCGAAAGCTGGTCAGGGGAACCATAAGGACCTCTAGACCCCGAGAAAAGGTGGGAGGGGAAGGTCCAACTCCACCTCACGGCCTCTCATCCTCACATGCGCACTACCGCCAGTGCGACCCCGACCCCGACCCCACCCCCTCATCTATACATACACACAGTAATAAGTAAGTTCAAAACCATTAATTTTCAGGCATAAGTTCTGATTCTGGAACAAGTAAGTTTCTTCCTTTTATGTTTGTGATAGGGTCTCTCTCTGCTACTCACGCTGCCTCTGAGGTTGTGGGCTAAAGTGATCTTTCTATACTTGCCTCAGGAGTACCTAGGATTCCTCACAAGCTGCCACATTCCGCCAGAAGGGTTGTGTTTGTGTGAAGAGGGCATGATGATCATCATTGGTTCTACACAATTGTTCTATGACCCTAAAAGACTCCAAATCAAGGACTCCATCCATAAGTCCCTTCCACAATAACAAACTTCTCATCGCTGCTTTAAAACACACCTAAGGTATCTAGCCCAGCTCCAGAGCACTAAGTATGAGTAGCTGACAATTTAATTCTCTTCATCTACATTCTCTAGGGAGACTAGATCCCAAGCTCAGCTCACACATACAGAGAAGGACACACCTATTCCCCCCAATGCATCCAGTGAGGAAGATGACTTATTTTAAAATTCAATGTCATACCCTCCAGGCCTCCAAGCAACTGACTGTGACAAGACCTTTATTTATAGGTGACACAGCGCTGCCCAGAAGAGCCTTCATCCAGGAAAACAGCTGCGGGAGGGACCAAGGAAACTTTCAAAGCACCTTGCACTTTTGAAAAACAGCATTCTTGTCCGACTGTTTCTCTGTATTATTTAATAACTAGACTAGACAATGACATTTGTTTTCCAAATCCAATAATATCAGGAAGTGTAATCTAAATGATTTACTACTTGTAAGTAAACTAACCCCCTCTTTAACCTATGCTCAATTGGGAAGGAAAACATTACCTAGCATTTCGACAGACATACACTCTTGCAAAAGCTTCTTACAAAACTTCAGAATTTTATCTGTTCTATGCTGCACGTGAGTCTCATCTAGAGAGGATCCCCAAAACAACTCAACAGGTTACAGGAGCTTTAAAAACAAAGATATAAAAATCCAGGGCCTGGAAGCTGGGATGGAGCTCAGTGGCAGAGTCTTTGCAAAGGTTGATTGAAACATTGGGTCTTATGCTCAATACCCTGTAGCCCATCTCGAATGCGCGCACCTGTGTGTGTGTGTGTGCGTGTGTGTGCACACACACACACACACACACACACACACACACAGGGTTGCACTTGTCTAGCATGCATAAAGCCCTGGATTCCATCCCCAACACTGCATAAAAGTGCTGTGTGATGATGCAAAGATACTTCCTATAATCTCAGCATTCCAGAACAGGAGACAGGAGGATCAGAATTTGAAATTCATCTCATCTACTAGGGAGTTCGAGGTCGTATGGATTACAGGAGACCAGCTCAAAACAAAATGCCAAGAAAATAGTTTGTGAATACAATTACACATCTCCAGCTATTGGGAGATGTTGTAATATGCACTTTTTATTGTGGGTTGTGGTCAGACGCAGCGTGAGAGTCACTCATCTAACCAAGCTGTGGAGTTACTCGATTACATGATTACACATACAGATTTTTCAAACAAAGACATATTGTTCAGAGCAGGGCTTTTCAGACAGAAACACAAAGGGAATGGAAACCAGGGCTGCTTATGGCCTTAATTACACCACTGAACGTTCAATATTAGCACAGCTCAGCCAAAAGGAGCCAAAGCCCAAGCCTGAAGCTGACTCTAAACAAGGAACAAGCCAGAAACTGGTACAGCCGGAAGTGGGACATTGGGAAGTGGCCATCCCTGCCCTAGCTGCCTGATGCTTCAGGGCTCCACATTCCAAAGAGATTATTCCATATGGTGTCCTGACTGGCGTCCATGAAAACTGGGAAGGAAACAGATTCTAAGATCATCCTGCAGAAGTCTGGAACACAGGCGAGCAATTCCTTGTTCGTGGACCAAAGTCTAAATGTTGACCATCGAAGTGAAACATTAAAGATCCACTTAAAAAGCAACAGGGTGGAGCGCCTCCTTCCGGGATGGGAAGCTGTCTGGGACTGAGAAAGGACTCCCGAGCTTCCCGGAGGAGATTCCTGGGACTCGGTAGACGGGTGAGAAAACACAGCAAAGGAAATAAAGAAAAGCTTCCTACGGTCAAAGCGATCAGCCAAAAAGATGCCCTGTTGTTGGGGCTGGCCTGGCCACAGGGACAGGCTGCTTCTTTGTCCAAGGCCCTGCTCAAATGCCACGTTGAGATACTCAAGGGCAAACGGTGAAGTTTTCCCCATCTTCTCGACTCTCGCATCCTCTGGAGTCAAGCTGCACCTTCCCTCGCCTTTGTTTTGGTCCCAGATCTCCCTTTCGGTCACTAGGTGGCCCACACCAGGTCTCCCACATTCAAGGACCCCCTCCACCCTACGCCTTGCTGACTTCTTCGGGTCACCCTGGCCAGCCCCTTCTGGCAGGCGCCAGGCGTGGAGGGAGGGGTCGCCTGGATTGAATTCAAGCCCCACTGCTGAGCAACCCCGCGACGCAGGCTGCCCCACCGAGCTACCGTCCGCGCGCCGGCCCTGGCTGGCCACCAGTTGCCTTACAGGACAACACCCTTTGGTGGCGACACTGTCCCCCACTTCCCTGGCCAGGGGACTGGCGCCGTGGCTTACGTGCAGTCTTGGTTGAAAGAGAAGCAGCTGAGCGCCGCCTCCACCCGACCCGGAGGGGCGTCTGCGGCTTCGGTCTCCATTGGGGGCTCGACCCGGTAAGCCGCAGCTTGGAGCGGGGCACAGCCACCTCAGCAGCCCGCCCGCGCCGGCTCCGTCCGCCGGCTTGCCGCCTCGGTCCCGCCCCGGCCTCGCCCCCAGGCAGGCCACGCCTACTCGGATCCCACTTGGCCCCGCCCCTCTCCAGAGTTTTCCCTCTCTCAGAGCTGCCACTCCACCGGGACCAGCGACCAGCGGGGCCCTGACCCCGCCCGAATCGTAGTTATCCCCGCCCCTGCCTCGAGTCCCGCCCCTCCCAGCTCCAGCCATACCTAAGTCCCCTTTGGACCTGCCCCACCCATTTCCCATTTAGCTCCGCCCCTGCATCTAGCCCCACCCCCTTCCAGCTCTAGCCGTCCTGAGCCAACCAGGTCCTGTCCCGATCCACTTCCACTTGTTCGTCCCCGCCTCTAGCCCCGCCCCCTCTCCTGCCGGGCTCAGGACCCACCCCGCCTCTTATTTCGGGAACTGAGCAAATGACAGCTCTTTGGCCAGTCAGAGGCGGCAGTGGGCGGGACCGTTGCTGACGACCCGCCCCCGATTCGGAGACACCGCCTGCCATTGGTCAAAGGTGAGTGAGGCAAAGGCTGCAGGCCACGTGGTGGTGTTTTCATCGCCAGAGCGTCCAGGCTTGGGGAGGAGGAGTGGAGCTGCGGGGCTTCAGGCCTGCTAGAGTGCCAGGGACGGCGCCAAAGGGGAGGGCGGACGCCTGCTTTCTTCCCAAGCCAGTCCTCGGTCCCCGCCCCGTTAAACTTACAGAAGGTAGTTGGAATCAGCAGGCGTCAAAGCCCCGCCCTTTGGAGAGTCCTTAAGCTGCTGTGGTCAGGCTGATAAGAAGCTACCCGCAGCCCTAGGGTTGAGGAAGAGCTCTTGCTAATCCCAAACGTTGTATTAACCACACACACTACCTCGTTCTTCTGGGTACATTCATACCCGATTTACTGAAGATGCAGTTGAAGCACTTGCTAGACAGCGCGTCTAAAACCGACAGTATGCAGTGGCATGTATAAACTGATACTCTTTCAAGACTTGTGTGCTAAACAACTTTGTTCAACAGTATCTGGCAGGATTTGTAGAATGAAAGAAACTAGAATAGTGTGTGAGAGGGATAAAGTCTTGAAGACGGTTCAGTTTGAAGCTCGTGTAATTTGAGATGCAATTCTGACATAGATTTGTTTCCCCGAGCTAAATACTTGGGAACAGTTGGTTGTGAGATGCCTGAGGTGGGTTCTGGGAAACCGAATTCCAGCCATGAATAGCTTTTAGGTACTGAGTCATCATTCTATCATGATTATTATTATGTCACAGCTCTTTAGATTGCAGCAATTCAATTCATATTCAGTCACTTTTTAAATATATTTTTTGAGACAGTGTCTCAGGCTATAGTCTACACGCTCCTCCTTCCTTGGCCTTCCAGGTGCTGGGATTACAGATGTGAGCCATCATGCTCAGCCAAATTTCCCCAATTCATGACAAAATTGTATACCCCACGCATTGATATTTGAATTTTAGACTTAGAATGGATGAGCAAGAGGGGCCTGTTTCACGGCAGCTTTTCTGGTTGGTTCTCCAGTTTGACTTTTCCAAAATATAACAGTTTATTTTCTCAAGACAGTTGTTCTGTCGACTAACAGATCCACCCCTAGGTGACTGCTCTAGGACCAGTTGTGAGGCACTGTATAAACCAACTCAAGTGCAAAGAACCTCTGTTTGGATGTTTTGACCTCGGCCTCCTTGCAACCTCCTCCATCTCTCAGCTCTGCCAAGTTCTGCCATCCTGTCAGTCGAATTGATAGAGCCACGAACCTTGCAGTCTAGGTGCTGGGTTCCTGGAAGTACTAGATGGAGTGCCCCATAAGGTTTTAAAGTGGGGCCTATTATCAGTTTGTTACGAAACAGTTAGACTTTGTGGGGGCAGAGAAGGGGGTGAGTTTTAGCGTAGGAGTGTGTCATGATAAAAGCAGTGTCTTAGGCAGATAAACTTGGCCAGTGTGTGCAGATCAAAGTAGAAGGCCGGAAGGCTTTAGGGAGCCAGCATGGCACTCTTGGAGAGATTGAACAGGAGTCTAATGCGATGGTACCAAGAGCAGAAAGCTTAGGATGAATGCAAGAGCTGTGGGGAGGCAGGTCTGCCCAAAGGAAGAAATGGAGGCCGTACATGTGAGACTCATCTATGATCTGAAAATCTCTGGAAGAAATACGTTGAGTAGCAGGCAACAGGGCTGGCCAGATGGCTCAGTAAGTAAAGACGTCTGCTGCACAAGCCTGACAACCCGTGTTTGACATCCCACATAAAGGTGGAAAGGAGAACCAACTCCACAAAGCTATCCTCTGACCTCCACATGTGCTCTGTGTTATGTGCACTGCTTGCAATCAGCCTCTGTGATGATAAATGAAAAAACAGGTGGGCTAATTTTAATATGCTCTGCTTAGCGCAATAAATAAAAAACAAGGATGGAAAGACAGGAACATTATGGGGGCCTGGGAAAGAAGTGAGGCACCTCACTGTGGAGCCAAGACGCAAAGATTCCAACACAAGCTGGGCCGTGGTGGCACGCGCTTTTAATCCCAGCACTCAGAGGAGAGGCAGAGGCAGGCGGATCTCTGTGAGTTCAAGTTCGAGGCCAACCTGGTCTACAAAGCTGCACAGAGAAACCCTGTCTCGATCCCCCTACCCCAATCAAAAAGAGATACCAACACAATAAATGACATTTGCTGTGAAGGCTGCAACAAAAAGACAATATTCCTTTCATATAGGAATATTTTCAATTTTTACTAGGCCATGGTGGCTCATGCTTTTAACCTCAGCACACTGGAGACCAGCCCGGTCTACAGAGTGATGAGTTCCAGGCCAGCCAAGGACACAGAGAAACCTTGTCTCAAAAACCAAACCCCACACCCCACCCCCAAAAGGGAAGAAATATTTTCAATTAAAAATTTTAAAATGGGACTGGAGGGGTGGCATTCGCTGCCCTTCCAGAGGACCAGAATTTAGTTCCAGCACCCACATCAGCTTGCCCACAGCTGCCTGGAACTCAGCTCCTCTTTTAGCTTTTGTGGCCAGCCTTCCCCTCACCCCCCCACGACACACATTCTCATAAATAAAAACAAAGTGCAATATTTTAAAAAATCTTTTAATAAACTCTGATTCTTCTTCATACAGGTTCTTCCTGAAATTCTTTTCTGCATTGTGACCAACAATCTGATTTGCATGAGTGGCAGTCCTTAAAATAATCTGATTTGCATGAGTGGCAGCCTCGAAAAGATTATAAGAACTCCCTAGGCAGGGTGGTGGTGGTGCACATCTTTGATCCTAGAACTCAGGGAGGCAAAGGCAGGTGGATCTCTATGAGTTCTAGGTGAGCCTGGTCTACAAAGAGAGTTTCAGGACAGTCTCCAAAGCTACAGAGAAACCCTGTCTTGAAAAACAAAGAAACAAACAAAAGAACTCCCCAGGAGGCAGGCTAACCTGTGCCTCTTCCTCTGTAGCTGCTACTAATACATATATGTGTATATAGTATTATATACAATTATATATGTGTATATATTTGTTTTTTTTGTTGTTGTTGTTTTTGTTTTGTTTTTCGAGACAGGGTTTCTCTGTGGCTTTTGGAGGCTGTCCTGGAACTAGCTCTTGTAGACCAGGCTGGTCTCGAACTCACAGAGATCCGCCTGCCTCTGTCTCCTGGGTAAGTGCTGGGATTAAAGGTGTGCGCCATCACCACCCGGCATATATATTGTTTTAATAGTCAACATAAAATTATTTTAAATGTATTTATTTTATTTTGATTTATTACCGTGTGTATGTGATGTGGGGGGGTTATTGCGTTCCAGTGCACGTGTGGACAGAGGACAAATTTTGTGGATTTGGTTTCTCCTTCCACCTTTATGTGTGGTTCAGGAGATCAAATTCAGATCTTTAGGCTATACCTGGTAACGTGCTTCACCAGCCCTAATATAAAATTATTAGTTAAATTTATGTTTTACTTTTAAGCGATAAGTGTTTAAGATAACTGTGTGTTTCCCATACCTCACCTCACCATAACCCCGTGTTCGGGACCATTGTGTCCCTCTTTGCTTGGTAGGATTTTGTGGGAATAAACAGCAGAGCACAGATAGTGGTGTAAATGATGCAGGGAAACCAGACCTCTGGGCAGGTGCTTAGGACGGTAAGTTTTATTCCATCTTGAGGTAGGTCCAGAGTTGCATAGTCCCTGGAGCTAGGGTGCAGGCCTAGAGACAGACGCAGCTC